TGTCGGGCACACACAAGTCCTGTCCCGACTGTCGCACACATGTCCCAGAATCCTGGATGCAGGACTCGGGATTCTAGATTCTGAATTGTGGATTGCGGATTCCCGAGAAGCGCTCGACAGGGACCTTGGTCTTGGCAATAAAAACAAAAGATTGATGGCATTGGGCACACGTTCGATTTGTTTTCCTGTTGCTCAGCGGCCACCTCCTGTCGCTCCGCTGGGGCTTGTCCTTGTGCCTTTTAGTGCTTTGTAATGTCTTAACATTTGACACATCACTGGGACTCTCTGCCACCCTTACAGTCGACAACCGACAGCCACCATCCACTGAGGATATTGCTCGTTAGTTAAGGTTTCTAATAAATTTGTGCAACACATTTCTTTCCTCTTCGGGGTTCGGGGTTCGTTGTTCGGTTCGCCTTGCCGCCAATCCTCTGTCGTCGCTTGTAACATTTTATTTGATAACATATTGCATTTGGCCCTTTCTCTCGAAATCTTTTTCCCTTCTGCCGGTTCCGTTTCGTTTTGGGTTTCATCCTGCCCCGTTGTTTTCCCGGCCATTTGGGTGGGTTTCCTCCTCTCTAAAATATTGGCTGGCGTCTGCCGAGGGTCTCAACTGGAGCACAGTGGCCAAGTGATTTATGGCGTCTGTGCTGGTCATTCAACTGCATTTGATTTAGGTTGTAAATTGTTGTACTGCTTCCTGTTTATGCTCGATCCTTATCCTCCTTCCCCCTCTTACATTTTGCGCTGTTTTTCGCTAATGAATTTATTGCACTTTTCGTGGTTTCCGGTAAATGCTTTTGGTTACATTGCATTGCATTCCACACTGAAAGGATCTAGTTAAGTTAAGATAATAAATAATAATGCACAGCTTGGCTTCAATTATTTTTAGGCCCTGCAGCTAGGATAACAATAAATCTCTCAAAAAATTTTAAAAAGTCACTCTGCGATCATTAAGGAAGTTCCATCGCTCTTTATTTCTCCCCGACTTGGGTCCACTCATTTTTTCTGCGGTCATCACTGGCTTAGAGGGGACGCAAAGGTACGAGTCATCTGTGACAGGCGAATATTATCCCTCTTTTTGGAGGGAGAACGAAAGTGATAAACGATGGCGAGGCTGAGGCAAGAGTGAAAGAAATGCCAAAGAGCCTGACACTTGGACGTGAGCGCACAAATAACACTTAACACAATAACAAACAAACTTTTCGACTAATGACAGTCCAAGTAGCAAACAATTTATCGGATGCCAGGAAGGAGCAGCCAACTCTCGCACACACTTTCGCACCGAGAGTTCCTTTTGCCAAGTCATTAATCTTGTTTCGCTCTGGTCGGGCGGCGGACGGGGCGGTGAAATCAGCGGGAGTTCCAATACCGATTCCCAGCCATGTCGTCGTTATCCTTTCAAGCGTGAACACATGCGATTACGTCTTGGTGGCCCCGTGTCCTTGTTGTTGCTGTCTGTGTGTGTGTTGCCAGTTTCCGCATTTTCCTGCGCCAGGCGGCTGCCATGATTAAGTGCCATTTTGAAAAGTACTAAAATCCTGTTGGTCATGGCCCTGGACCTCGCCAGCACGCCGCACAGCTCCCTTCTCCCCCCACGAAGCTGGCAATGTCAAAGTGTCAATGATATATGTTATACGCTCCGATAAGACGCCCTCTCCCCCGGCCAAGTGGTGGGCGGAAGGACGAAGGACGAAGGATGAACGCTGCAGGAGCAGGAGCAGGAGCGTTGGGGTGGAAAACCCCGTGTGTTTGGCGCCCAACAAAATATTGCACGTGAACAAAAGCCCGACTGGTGAAATCAGTGCACGTTCACGCAATAACATAATAGTTGGCCATATATTTAGCTGATTTCCCACCAAACACCCGCTGCTTCCTGTGGCACTTGTATTTTCCACGATATTTCCCCAGTTTTTCTTTAGGCCTTTGTCCACATCATAAAAGTGGTAGACATTTACAGGTTACCAGACACCGTATACTTTATTTATATTTTTATTATAATAAACTTTATGGACTTGTATTTAAGTTATTAAAGAAACGTATTCGAAGAAATTACTATTGAATTCCTGAATAATAATTTATTGGAAGTTACTTTTAAAATAGTCTACTGCCAGATTTTAGTTGTAATAAAAAAATAAAATTTTTAAATAGGAAATTCTAAAAATATAAGCCGAGTAGGCTTAGTCAAAACTTATTCCTTTTCATATAAACTATAAATTTGTATTATAAGTTGCTATGCATCAAAAGAAAAACTAAAATATCATATGAAAAATAACATAAAGTATAAAATGTCGAAATTTTAAATATCGAAAAATAAGAAATTTAAACTTAAATAAGAAAAGGAAACTAACTTCGATAAGCAGAAGTTTCAATAGTGGTTTAAAGAAGTGGTTTGCAAATAAATTAAAGGTTCAGAAATCAATCATAACTAAGTTTTAAATATTCGCTTTTATGGTATGTATTAATGGATATATTATCAAAAAAAAACCTTAAATATGTTTGTTTTTATTAGGTTAATAAATCTGTATACTCAATTTAAAATATTTACAAGTCGAAATTTTTGCCTACTTTTGAAAATTTTAACGATGTAACCCCTAATAAAATTTTCAAAATTTTGAAAAATTTAAATTTTTGCCGGACATGACGATCGATTCGGCTGTTAATGCTGATCAATAATATATATGGTCGAAAATGGCTTCTTAACTGCGTTACAAGCTTTTTACTAAAATTATAATACCCTGAAAAGGTAAAAAATCTATATTTTTGAAGAATAAAAGAGAGAGCTTTTTACTAAAATTATAATACCCTGAAAAGGTAAAAATTCTATATTTTTGAAGAATAAAAGAGAGTGTTATTTTATATTTATTCTTCTTTCCATTCCAATTTATATTGGAAATATATATCAATCTGAATATCAATTAATCCCACAAACATTGCAGAAATCGATAAAGTCTCAATTACCTATATTTATTGCCTTATGCAGGAATGTCAATATCATATAGAATTTTAAAATATCAGACTTAAGGTTCAAATATCGATATTATTATTTCTATTATTATTATTAATGAATTTCCCGACTATATTGCCTACAAATATCAAACAGAAGATCGCCTAAACCGCACAAATATTTCAAATATTTTACAAAATATCGACACACTTCAGATATATCGACAATCAGCCGTCAAGCTTCGTTGAAAAACCTAATGCTCAAATGGAACTCGGATGCTCTGTGCGATCAGCTCTGTTCCAGAATGTAGATCCAGACATACCCAGCATCCCTCGATCCCTCGATCTTCCCTCTACCCTGGGTTTTTTTGGCAGTTGTAAAATATATTTCGGCTCGGCGAAATCTCTCAAGTAGGTGCGAAATCGATCGTAAAGAGCCCCTTCCTTCCGAGCTGTTCCCACAATTCCAAGTACTTTCGATATGATCGAGAGACCGCTGGCCAAACAAGACTGATGATCGCAAATGGTGGACGTGGAGCACTCGGAGGTTGAACAAAAAAGAGCACGGCGCAAGTGCGAGAGAAACGTAACCGGAAAAAATCAAAGGCAAAACAATGATCAAAGCTGTCATTACAGATCGAGGGGCGGTCTTTGATCTCGCGCCGCAAATGCGGTTCACTCAAGGGGGAATGGGTTGCGTGTCCAGATTTTATGTTTTGTTTTTTATTTGATTTTCACTTTGTTCTATCAATCAGCGCCTACTACTCGGCGACCCGGCGAGTCGAAATGGAGAAGGGTATGGATCGGTTCCGTTCGGTTGGGGTTATAAAATGATCTTGAGAGGATCGTGTGCGATGGTGTGCGTGTGTTTTCCTTGCTTTTCACGTAATAAAAACACATTAGCAACAACAAGCAACACGTTAATTTCATTTAAAAATAAAATAGACGAAATAATTGCCGCTCCTGGGGCTCCTGCCCCCTCCTGCCCCACCTGTTCCTCCTTCTTTAAGTTGGAAAATCGCATTTGATGGATGACTATGGAGGAAGTCGTCTGTTGAGCAAGTTGTCGATGCTGGGATTTTGTGGATTTCGAGAGTCAGCTGGGGTGTGTAATTTCCGAGGGATTTGGAATTGTATGTACATTAAAGCATTTTGTGGATTTCCTGGAATTTATGCGGAATTTATCTTTCTTTCGAGGCCTTTTTATTTGGATTGTGTTTTTGGATTGTTGGATTGTGATTGATCTTTGATTTTGGCATTTTGCCGCCGTCGGCAACTTGTTAAAGATGTAAATAGATTCTGATTATCAGGAATGAAGGCTAGGAGCAATTGATAACTGACTAATAATTCAAGAACCAATAAACAATCGAGGGAAAACTGGAGACAGCTTAATTAATGATCAATTGGAAAATAATTATAATGAATAAGATTTAAATATTTGAGCTTTACTTACCTTATTTAAGTACAAATTATACTACTTAGATATTTTTGTAATGACATTTCAGCTGCAATAAATATCTCTAATATCTAAATTCCTAATCAAATCTTCAAAACTGACAAATGTCAGGTTTTAAGAACCCATTAGTGCTTCCACTTTTGATTGTCAATTAGGCAAGAAAGATTTACTAGCTACGAAAAGCATTTCAGTAATTTCTATTTGTGTTCATTAGGAAATCCAGCATTAATCCCACAAAAATGTCAACAGACAAAGCGGTGAACGAAAACAGCTGCAAATCTTTTTCGAAAATTTGTAACCAATTTGAGAAGCCGCGAAAACGTTTTTACAGGGCCTTAAGAATGAAATTTATGGCTTTCAGGAGGAGGAACCCCTTTCAAACGCACTCGGGCTACAAAATTAGAAGCAGATACCCAAGGCGAACAGAAGTTTTTCTAATAAAAATCACGTAAACTGTCGCCTTAATTTCAAAAGAATCGAAACGATTCGAGCAAGGCCCCAACATCACTCCAAATAATTTCAATTTAGGCACGATTCTCTGCCCCTGAACCATAAATAATGGAAGTAGTAGAGGCAGAAGACTCAACCACGCTGGCACTCTCTATTCTGAGAACCCCTTCGCGGAGCCAGAGAAAGGGCTATCAATTTATTTTTGATGGCAGGCCCAGCATAAATCCCCTCCACGGAAACCACAAAGAAATCACACAATAGAAATTTATGTAATGCCTTCGCAGAAGCGCTCTTACACCGGGTGTTGGGGAAATCTTGATTTACTTCATCTTGATCTGGATTTCAGGGCTACCGTGGCGCAGACTCATATCGTGAGTGTAACCAATTGTGAGTGCTTCTGTTGTTAACACGGTCAATAAATCAGAATTGTCCAAACAAAGGTGTCGACTTGGAGATACTAGAAGTCCGTGACCCGTCCCTTGCGCTCCCAGTCGCCATAGCGCGTGGGTTCGGGTCCCGCAGGTCCTCCGACTTCCCCCGTATGAGGATTGATGCCCTTGGGCCAGGGCACCAGGGGCTCCTTTTCGTGGGCCGGATGTGGTGGAGCTTCGGGCAAGGGACCTAGAGGTGCATTCGATCGCAACATTTCCCGGAACCTTAAGTAACGATCGCTGAGTTTCTTCTGGGGCAGCTCCTCCTCCACCTCCTCGACCGTGTGGACATGTGTCTTTGGATTGGATAAGGTGCAGTGACAACGGCGTCCGCACTGGATGACTAATGATCGACAAAGTCGTAACATTTTTGGATTTACTTGTATGAATATTAAGCCTTACAAATTCTGAGAATAAATATGTTGGAGTGTTTTCTCAGAGATCCGTTGGTTCGCTAGATTATTATATGACTATTATTAATATAAATTTGTAAACTGTCATTCGTTTACCCAATAAGTTGCTGATCTAATTGGGCAAATCATAAGAGAGAGAGAGAGATCTTTTTCCCAAAGGGTTAAATAAGAGCAAACCGTCTTGAAGATTGTCTTTCGCAAGACATTAGATCTACTCCAGTCGTCTGTCCAAACATAGTTTGACATGACTCCGACTGACAGCCAAGATCAAATGTCAGTCTCTGGGAGGAGTCTCAGAGTCTCCAAGTCGCTGGGTCTTAGCTTGAAGCCACAACCAAACGGAGGCTGAGTGACAAGGCTGACGGAGTCTAATGACTTTCAAGCAGCTGCTGTTGAGCTGCAATGGAGATAAACTTCCGGAAACGAGTAGCTGTCTAAGGCAGTTAGCTGGTCAGGCTGTCAAGCAGAGTGCACTGAGAAAAAAACTAGCATTTTAATATTATATTAGATTAAAAACATATTTGAATGAGAAAGGGAACCTGTATTTAAAAGGAAACATGGTAATGTGAGGGTTAGTTAAATATTTAGTTCTTTAAATGGTGTTTTTACAAGTTTAGTATTCAGAAGGCTATATTAAGTACTTCTTTTTGTAAAACTGGTTTAAAATATATACAAATTTTTATCTAGAATCTGATAGATATGACTTTTCTTAGTCAAGTTTTCCCTAGTGTGCGACACGAGCTTTCCAACTCATTCCCGTTCATTAATTATTAAAAGTGGGCAGGCCGACAGCACCGGCAGCATCTGCATCTGCATCTGCATCTGGATTCGCATCAGTCAGAGCCGTCAGATTGCCAGCTTGATCTGGAAGGCTTCATCTGGGAAGCGGAGCGAGCGGCATGCTCCGATCGCGTCGAGCTCGACATGAGTTGGATTCGCGCCTCAGACACCTCCAGCTGAGCGGCGTGACTTCAAAGCCCCTTAAATATGGCTTGTGCAGGGTATACCGTCATCCATGGAAGCAGCAGCAGCATTCTTCAGATCCCCGATCTGTCGCCTGTCACTTGCATAACGTTCTCTGCAAATTTGTTCTGCAATCCAAACATCCCACTCTCGGAAATCGGGGCCGCCAGTATGAAAGAAAGAAACATTAAAAGTTGCCGGCGCAGTGCTGTCAGGAGATTTGCCTTGGCTCCGGCCTTTGCTCGGTGACTTTCTTCCCGCCCCAACTAAGGGGGATCCCCTTAACTCAGCTGGCAGGCACTGCGGGCTGTCTCCGCGCTCGAATTGAAATTGCTGCCTCAACGTTCCACGTCGGCATGACAATAATCTCGCAAATCTGTTTAAATTAAGCGAGACAAATGTTTCCTCTTGCCCGACGGCCCGAGTATGTGGCCAAGACGACAGCCAGACAATCGGACCAGCTTAGGTTTCCCCCTCCTTCAGCTCAGCATGTTATTGTCCTTGTCTTCTTTTGGCCTTAACTCAGTTTGGCTTGAACAAGTTTTGCTTTATTGTCCAAAGAGAGGCAGAGGAAGCAAGTAAGTGGTGCAACTAAGTTGCAGTACAAATCATATTTGTTAATATAGAATTAAATTGAGATTAATTTTAAAACACCTAATTTAGACCACATCACCTTTCACTCACAGCAAATCTTCATAACTCAGCAAACGTCATTCCGAAATTGATTCCTTTTTTTCCATTTCAAACAAATGATTCCGAAAATTCACAATAATTAAATCGTATAAAAAATATGCTCACTAAAATGCGAGAAATATCGAGAAATGTTCGCTGTCTTTGATCAGCCGTCAAGTGGTTTGATCGATTTCCACAATAATAAAAATCCACCGACAACTTGTCTATAATCAAAAATCCCTCTGGGAATGTGTTGCAGCAGCCTGCCGCTGTTTGCCGCTGTTTTTGCGGTAGGCATCCATCAATCACAATGAAAAGTTTTCCTCGCACTGACTGATCTGGCTGCGCCCACCCATAAATTTGTTTGATCCTGCCTCGCCGGATTTTACGGAAGAATCGAACATTTTCACACAGTAATAAAAATCTCAAACATGTTTGTAAAGTTGTTAGCCATAGCCCTGCCAGTCTCCCTGCCCTCTCTATCTCAATCTCTATTGTAGGCGGTAGCAGAACATATAAATTAACATTTTGACTGCCAACTGGCGCGGTGAATGATCAAAGACCCACTGTGCCGTCATCGTTGCGTTGATCATCGTCATTGCTGGATGGAGAAGGAGCAGCAGCAGCAGCAACACAGCAGCAGCAACAGCAGCAACACAGCAGCAACACAAGCAGCAGCAGTGCGAACATCATTCCACGTTTACGATCCATCAACACGAGCCATCAAATTGTATACAAACAAACGCAGCAAAGATCAAAAGCCACGTTACCTCCACACGGAATCGAATCTGTGCCGATGGCTTCTGCCTCGTTTCGGTTTTCTCTGGCCTATCTGTCTTGCCTTCTTTCTCTCTGTGATTCCCTCAAATTCATTTAAAGAGTATGGTGGTTGTGGCCTCTGGGAAGCCATTGCACCAGAGATGGAGATTCTCATCCTCATTCTCAATCTCCCCGATGGCATATATAATTTTATCGTTTTTCTCCCGGAATATGCTCATATGGACCGACTATGATTTTCATTTGTCAAGTGCCCTGGAAGAATAGTATTTAAGTTTTTTGTGTTTCTATGTGAATATCCTAATGATTAAGTTGATAGTAGGTGAATATGTAATAAGAATGATCTTGAATAAATAACCCCTGAAATATATGTATTAAAATAGTATATTGAAAACTATGTATGTTTAAATTTAAATTGCACATTTATCTTTGGAAAGAAAGCTCCAATTAAATCAGTTAAACAATTATTGACTATCAACTTCAAATTAATTCATTATAATCATAAGTTTTAGTTCAATTTGTAGACATTTTATTAGAAAAATGTATAAAAGAATATAAATATTCTTAAGAAATATAAAAATATATTAATATTACCCGAATATGATGTCAATACTTTTGGGTTCAAGCTTTCCATGTAGTGAAATGGCATTTTCAACCCTCGAAATTACATATTTAATGTCGCACTTAGTAAGCATTATTCACCGAATCGATCTAGACAAGTCCAACAGAATGTATATTAATTTCTAAACGAACCACTGCCCAAGTTTTTAACGGAATCTTGTAAAAGTTGAAAAGTTAAAGAATATTAAAATCCCGCTTAAATATAGAAACATTTTATTTCTTAAAAATTAAAAGAACATATCATTTTTAATATTCAAGCTATAGTATACTGAGAATTCCCTTCAAAACAAATATTTCTCTACCAATTTTAACAGTTATTTTACTATAGAAAACGTTCGAGTTACCATCCCTGATAAAAGGAATGTAAATCACGCTCCAAAAAAATAAAGATAAAAGGCTAACGGTGAGTGTCATAACACCATTAGCCATATCAAATGTCACAGATCCGTCAGAAAGCTGTAAATTTATATGTTGCCATTTCCGGGCACAGTGCAGACTTTTCAGATTTAATGCCTCGCTCACAGGCATGTCAAATTCAATTTTACCCTTATGATCCGAGACAACGATGCGAAGATATAGCTACATGTACATATATCCACCACCAACTGGTACTGGTACTGGTCGCTCTTTCTCTGGCCATGTCAGGCCGGGGAGCGACCCCAATAAAGTGCAATTAGCCAGATTTATGATTATCCCCTGTTATGAACAAATAATTTTTAGGCAATTCCATATACGAACGCTCTGCGACCGGAGCACGTACGGCCAAGTCATCGGAACGAGAATTTATAACACCAAACGTAAACAACAAAGAAGACAAATCGCTTTATTCACGGCCGCCGCAAAAACCACCCCTTGGCACACCTCCCTTTCGCCAATCCCCTTTGGCTGTGAATTATAGAGGATATTGTGTACGGGGATATATATATACACCATATATATGTAGCTGGGTAAAATCAAATTGAAATCTGTTCGAAATTCGATACCACATTGTGGCTTTCCATCCATCTAATATCGAGGAAGACTAGATTTGACCCTGTTTTAGGTTTTGGTGAAATTGTCTGAAAGAAGGGTCTTTCATTTGGATTAATAGAACAAGGGCGTTGAGGTATTTCAAGGAAACCCAAAGCAATTGATTTGGATAGAATCGAAGGAGTTTAGAGTATTCATTTTGTTTAAAAATAGTAAAATATAATGAATATCTTAAGATCTAAACATGATTGATTGTTTAGATCAATGGAGTTACATTAAGTGAATAAACACTAAAAGAGAAAGGGTGTTAAGAGTCTTCATGAATAAATAAATAAAATTCTTGGTTTTGAATTAAAAATAAAATAAATAATTTGAAGAAGAATATATTCATCTTAATTTTTGGGTTGACCTTTATATCATTTAGTAGTAAGGGAATCGAATTTAAACTAGTATTTATAATTCTTTGGGATTGAATACTTATTCACATTTTGGTTATAAGTTCATAGAAGATTACCTTTTGATTTTTACAAGCTGTTGAACTATTTTATTTTGCTTTTACTTAATTATTTTGTACATTGCGTAGGACTTTACTTTTAAAGAGGTTTATGGAGATATATATGGTATATTTACTAGTTAATAATTTTATTATTATCTAACAAACTTCAGCTACCACTTGATCATTTTGAAAGCTTGATCAGAACTTGTTTATACTGTTTACAATTTCTAGCTGATATTTTATGATACTTTATACAAAGGCAAGTTATAGATATACATATATCAACTTTATTACCTTCAAAGATACTAAAAGTGTCCTTTTCTTTTCATTGAAAGTATTGAGCAAGCTCAAGTAAGTACCTTAATCCTTATAAAACTAATCATTCTATTTTAAATGTTTGCACATACATAAGTGAGCCATCGATTTAATATATATACCAATATCATTCTAATCTGAAAGGGTTTCTCATCACCTCTCATCTAAAGGAGTTTCTCACCCCCTCATAACCTCAAGGACCTCACACACAATT